GCTTGTTAGTAATTTTCTCCTTTTAATAAATATTTTTAGATACACCCTAGAAAATGTAATAAACAAATCTAGTCTATTTTATTATTTTTTTTATTTACCTTTTAATTATTTTTATACAATTTTACATTTCTTTTTTATTATATAATTTTTTTTGAACAACAAGGAAGTTTTAGAAAAAATGGGAATATAAAGTGAAGTATCAGAGAATGAGAAAGAGGGCTTGGAAAATTTGATACTCACGGGACAAAGTGAAGGCAAGAAGAGCAGAAGGAAAAAAACTAATAACCTACTAAATGAGCGTGTGTAGACGGGTGGCAGAAAAAAAGTGAGATGGATAGAAAAGGGGCAAACATTCCTTTGAGCTACAAATGTTAGGAAGTTGTTGAGAGTCTTAACCTGAAGTGTTACGGCACATAAAAGAAGAATATTAAAATTTTAACAATTAAAATAACGTGTAAAGATTTCAGAGGCATGTTAAAAACACATCAGAAGATTATCAACATACACACGCGCGTGCGCACACACACATACACACACACACACACACATATGTGTGCGGGTGTGTGTGTGACTAAAAAAGCGATACCTAAAGTTTAAAATGCATTTTAAAAATGAAAAATCTTTCTTGACGCTTTTATTTTAGTTTTAATTACTAGCTAATAGATTAATTTTAATATCACCAATAAGCAAAATAATTTGCTGTATTTCAAACCGAATTTAAATTGATTGCAATGATTTTTTTTTAAATCGCTAATATCATCCTTATTGACAAATCTGTAAATATAACATAATTCCCTTTATTAAAAAATTTTCAAAAGCAAAATATGCATTCATGAAACATGATTTGAGAAAGTTTAACTTATCTAAACTTTAATCTGACAAATATTACTTTTAGTTTAAAACTTGCAGCCATACCCAGTTGGTCGTTCAAAAAAAGCGTTCAATTCGAATAGAGCAAAAACAGCATCATGTTTACATGTAACAGAGTTTATCTTCTTCAATTACTTTAAATTAAATCCATTAAAAAACATTTTGTATTAATGCAGTTACTAATATAATAGAAGTTAGCCGAGGACATGAAAAGGTAAAACAGGCAACATGAAATCCCACTTCAGACGACAATTATTTTGGAATTTTTGTAATTCAATTTGTCAGTGTGCTACCAGGGATGTAAAAGAGGATACATTTATAAAGCAGTTGTTAAGTTTGATAAAAATTGGTTGAAAGATCAACAAGAATTAAGAAAGAAACCAGTAAAAATCGCTATTTTTCGTTGTTTTTACGCGGGTTTCAGTATATGGGTGGACCCAAATCAAGTTAAATGACTGCTAAATATCCAACTTATTGTTGGTTACAAGTGAGTGAAGTTTGTATTAGATTTCATGAAAATTAAGGGAGTCATTAGTTTAAAATTTGTGTTGAAATCGATTTGTGTTGAAATTGATTTGGGTTTTTCGCGGTTTTTCGCTAAACGCAGGGGTTTAGAAAAAAAAATGAGGTATAATTGAACTCGTTATGATGCAAGTAACCTACATACCGAGTTTGAACGTAATCGGAGGAAAAAAGTTGAATTTATCGATTTTTGATCGGCTTTATCGATTATTGATTTCTTTAAATTATGAATTTTTTACGCTAAGAATCTTGCATTGTACAATGCATGTGCTAATTTTGGTTAAAATCGGTAGGATGGATCTCGAGTGAAAACGTATCACACAAACAAAAAGACAGACACACAGACATCTGTTTTATATAGAGATATTGCAGAAAAGCATTTTTAACATGGAGGTGAGTGTTCTTATGTGGTGTTGACTAAGTCATCAGTAATCTGATGCTTGCCAGATTTATGTAAGGGAGGAAATAATTGTAGTAAATTTACATGACCAATACTATGTAAATACCTTTTTTTAGATATTTTTAACTGCCCAGTAATCTTAAAAATTTTAAATATTTTAAATATTCTGAGATTTTATTGAATTTTAGGTATTTTATCTTTATAGCTTTAATTACTAAAACGCTTGTTAAGGAAATGTTAGAAATTAATAATAAATTTTAAATTTACTATCGTTACTGCTCTTGTTTTTTGATAATATCGCGTATGGATATCCGTATTTACAAAAATCGACACGCTTAAATACACACAAACAATTCAAAATTCTTTTTAAAATACTGGGGATCACTGAATTGTTGTAAGCTTTTCTATATATGATTAGTAAATATACTATTTATTTCATAACAATATCACTTGACCGATAAAAATTAATACAGAATTTTAAAAGACTTAAAGTTATAAATTATTCTGATTATTTTTTTTACAAATGAAAATAATTCCTGTAAAAATTCATTATTCGTCTATAAAAAAATTCTGAACATAATAGTGTTCATAATATATTTTATTCGTAAAAGAAATTAAAAGCATTTCTAATTAAATAATCACTTCTTTTGATTGTATTTTTAATTTACGATTCAGAGCAGTTTTTATGTAATTGGGGTCTTGTTTAGCAAATGTAAAAAATATATATTTACCATGATTTTCTAAGAAAGAAACGTTTCACAAGTACTTTAATTTATTTGTGAATGTCTTGAAATTTTCATTAAAATCCGATAATTATCTGATTTTTGCAAAAATTTCCAAATCAATGTTTTTCACTGCAAAAAGACGTTTAAATTCCCCGTATTAATTTACAGTGCCCCATTAACGCCTGAGAAAGAAAAAAATTTAACCAAAGGATGAAAAGAAATTACATCAAATATCCTTTGGTTAAAATGGCAGGTTCCAGAAAAAAACTTCCCAAAACAAATTCTAGAATAAAATTAGAAATTTGTAAACACAGTTGAAAATACGCAATGAAGTGTAAAAAGAAATTTGTTCATTCAACAGTTGTGAAAAATCTTTGAGTTCATTTTCCTTAAAGATAGATCATACTTATTATAAAAGCCAGGCTCTGTGTGTGTGTGTGTGTGTGTGTGAGTGTGAGTGTGTGTGTGTGTGTGTGTGTGTGTGTGTGTGTGTGTGTGCGTGCGTGCGTGCGTTTATATATTGGATCGGATTTCCTACATTTTTCAACTGATTTCAACAAAACTTCACAGAAATTACCTTGCGGTGGTTCTGACAGCGCCAAATATTGGAAAAACACAATTGTTTTTGCACGAAATCAATTTGAAAACACGATTAAGAGGCATCGCGAGAATGAAAGGAGGACAACTCATATGGAGTTATACTTATTATAAAACCCAGGTGTGTGTGTGTGTGTGTGTGTGTGTGTGTGTGTGTGTGTGTGTGTGTTCGTTTATATATGAGATCAGATTTCCTACATTTTTCAACCGATTTCAACAAAACTTCACCTTTTTTGGCAGGTAGTGTTTCTTATTGTCTTGCACACTTTTTCCTTTATTTTTACATTCAGAATGCTTTAAAAATTCCATTTACAAGACAATTGTTTATAATAAAATTCTATTCAATCGGTATACTCATAACGATTGAAAACAATATTTTGTTTGAGTTTGACCAATTCGTAATAAAAAAAAAAAAAAAAAAACTAATTAAGACATGCGTTTCCGTCAACCTTAAACAATAATCTTTGTCAATTTTATTTTTCAGTCTTTATGATGGTCGTTACTTGATCTATCTCTTACTGTTACATCCCCGGGCAACACCGGGCTCTCCTGCTAGTAATAAATAAATTGGCCGTTGTTATAATCAACGCAAAAATGTCAATACGTCTTTACACAAATCTATGCCAAGTAACTCCATTACACCAAAAAGATAAGAGAAGCGACTACAGATCAAAGGACTCACTGACAACAGAAATTACATATCATCTTCTCTAAGCCAACACTGTCAGTACTGATAATTATTTTCTCTTTATCAGGAGTTTCTATGAACATTTCAGACAATAAATCTGTTTATTATAAAAGATACATTCACAAAAATCGAGTTATACATACAAAATCATTTTTACAAAAGTACATAAAATACAATTATATTTTACTTTATTTAATAGGTTACTACTGTGTTATTGTGGTTACGATAAATTACCAACGCCATTATATAATCATTTACGGTAAATATAAATCTTCTGGTATCAGATATCTCATACTTCATTGAAGATAAACTTCATAATTCATCATCTTCAAAAAAAAAAAATCAACTAACCTATCTTTCGTTTGATATTTAACTTAATCTCAAACAACAATGTATAAGGAAAAATTGGCGGGATTTTGATGCCTCGTTGAGTGATCGGTTTGAACGAAGGAACCTAGAGTCTTTAAGAAAACACAATAACAAAAGCCCAGAGAAAAAAAAAGGGTGGTTAAGGAAAGAATTAAAGTAATTAAAATAAAAAAGCAGAAAGAGAAAAAATACAAGCTTCTTAAACAGAGAACAGCATCACGACCTGTTCACTCGGATTGTTGTCTCTGTCGTCTGCGTGTCTCCAGTTTGACATTGTGAGGAATGCTGGTGTCGTTTGACTTTATTGTCACCCAATACGGACAGCTCATTTATTTCGTTCACTGTGGCTATGAATGAATGAGAAAAACGTGAATACTTATTCTTTGTATTTCTATCAAGAAAAACTGTGAAAAAGAAATAAGGATACTTGCGCAAACGATGATTGTTTTTCATGCGACTGAAAGTGAGGGATAGCATAAAGATTACCTGGAGGGAAAACGAAAACAGCAAACCGAGTTCGAATTTCGGCTGAAGTAGCTAATGTTCACATTACACACTTGGGGAAAGGCACATATTCTCTTCTCCCTCTAATGGCCAGATATCTGGACAAAATATCTCGTTACTGGCATACCTTGAGAGTTGACGGGAAAAGAAAAAAAGAAGAAGAAAGGAACGAACACTAAAGCAAATAACACAGTGTTTGCCCAGAAAATAGCATACAAAAGCTGTTTCTTTCACAGTCAACCTTGACAGAGTCTAATAATAAAATCAGTGCATATCTGACTAGCTATCTGATTTTCATCTCTTGCTAACACTTGCATATTTGAAGTTACATATATAACTATAATAAAACGCTCTATCTATCTATCTATCTATCTATCTATCTATCTATCTATCTATCTATCTATCTATTATTATTATTATTATTATTATTATTATTATTATTATTCAGCGAAAGAGAAATGTCACAACAAAGTGAGACTGGAATACAAATATATGAAACCCACTGTGCCCATCATGAAGCCTAGCCGAATAAGGGTATACCAAGCACATGCATCACAGCCAAATGTGTGCAATATGGTGTCAGTTTTTGTCAAATTTTGCTAAATGCAGCGCATAACTTTGTAGGCGGGACTCAGTTAGAAATACCTTCAGGTTTTCCCAACTGATGTCCCCAAGTATCTATTTGCGATTTCCACGTCACCTTGGCTGCCTCAACCTTAAAACTTACAATAAAACGCCCTTTCGACACTTGACGATGATGTTCTATCGCTACTCCCGCTCATGAACAGATATGCACATCGCATCAGCCTCATAGGTTTCATGCTTAACTGGTTATAATCAAGCAAATGACAAGCAATTATTATTATTATTATTACTATTATTATTATTTCTTTAACTGTCGACAAATAAAATATCGTAATTACACTCGCAAATATATTCTATATACATTACAGATCAAGTTATTTTCTCGCCAATAAAAACATGTTATTCACTTTGGATTAGGCGCCTACTTCATTGTCGATCCTTTAAACACATTTTATATTCTTCTTCTTCTTCTTCTTCTTCTTCTTCTTCTTCTTCTTCTTCTTCTTCTTCTATGGGTTATGTCAATTCAATACGTGGGTGATCATATTTTCCCAACGGTCTCTTGTAGCTCTGCAATGTTTGTCTTTTTACGACCTCTCCTAATCCCTTATCTGCCAGGTAGGTTATTCACTGATTTCTTCTGTTCCTCTTGCCTCCAATCTCATTCCTGTGAGTGTTAAATTTTCCAAGCTCTCTTTCCTCTATATGTACCCAAGAAATTTCAATTCTCTTTTTCTGGTTCGGAGTATGTATATATGTCCGTTTTGTTTCCATTTTCTGTAAAACTTCGTCGTTTCTCGCATGCTCAATCCATGGTATTCTCAGTATCCTTCTGTAGAACCGCATTTCTGTTGCCTCAAGTTTCTTCTTCATCTGTGAGGAGATTGTCCAGCATTTACTACCAGAGAAAAGGACTGATCTCTTCTACTCTAATAGCTTCATGTCTCGCACCTCTCGCCTGTGGAACTCTCTTCCCTTCTCCTGTTTCCCTGAGAGTTATAATCTCCAGCTATTCAAGTGTAATGTCAATCGACATCTCCAGTTGCCTTAATCTATCTACTACCCTCATCCTTTCTTCTATCACTCCTATCTGATCTTCCTATTTTCTGTAACCCCTTGCGTCCTAGTGGCTCCCCGCCTTGCTTGGGGTGAAATGCTTAAAAAAAAAAAAAAAAAAAGCTTGACACTCTTTTCTTTGTTTATAACGATATTTTCCTGTTTCTTAATGCTTTGCTTAACTTTTGGAAGGCATCTTTCGCTATCCCAATGCGCTTTCGGCATCGCATTTTCTGACCTCTGTTCAAACACTTCCTAGATATCTAAATTTTTGTACACTCTTGAATCCATGGTTCGCATCTTACGCCCTTCCTTTTGCTGTCAGACGTACATTCTGCCTTCTTACATGGTTAGTCCTTTCTTTTCGTTTTTCTCTACTAACTACTGTAGGAGTGTTTCTAGTTTACTTTCTATGTCTCCCATTACTTTCTATGTCTCCCTTCTGTGTCATCTACGTACCTTATATTATTAAGATTATGGCCGCCAATAATAAATCTTGGTAGGATTTCTAATTCTCTTAGAATCACTTTAGTATAGTGGTTGAATAAATCCAATGAGAAGACATATCCTTGTCTTACGTCACTTTTTATTTTTGTGCATTTACTGAATTCATTTTTCTCTGTTATTTCAGCGTCTTTAATGAAACTCTACGTTTCTTTTCATATTTCTGTTTATTTTTCTTTTTAATTAATAAAGAAATTAACTCATCGAATATTAGAACCTCCAAAGTAAGATAAAAAGAAAACAACCTTTTTTTTTCTGTAGAAATTTGACAAAGCAACAATTCTGTACAGATCGTTGCTTCTTCTACTACAGCCAAGAAAATATTGTAATTTGTGTACTTCCGGTTCTCCACTTCCGCTCATGTATAAGAATAGTGAGAAAATCGTATTCTTTCATGAAGTGAAGAAATGTTCACCCCACGAACATACATACAGTGCTGTTCGAAAAAAGTGACTCACCTGATTTTTTTTACTAAATGTTCTCTTCTTCGATGAAACGAAAGTTGAGCTAAATTCAAAGGATAAGCGATCTGAAATCCGAAGAAGAAGCTTTGAAAGCTCTTTGAATTTAGCAGTAAGTACTATCAAGAATCCGTTCAGTATAATGTTCTGGGGATGCTTTTCTTTTCATGGGACTGGTTTCTTAAAACCTATTGAAAAGACCCTCAGGAGCGAGCAGTACAAGAGAATTTTAGAGTCTTGTCTGATCCCTTCTGCTGGAAGGGTGCAAATCGACCCCACCAAGCTCATTTTTATGCAGGATAATGCTCCCTGTCACAAATCAAAACTGAAGAAGGAATACATTGATGAGAAGCAAATGAGTGTTATGACATGGCCGCCCCAATCTCCTGACCTCAACCCCATAGAAAACATGGAGCATTATAAAGTACAGGCTCTCGAGAAAGCAGTTGAGCAACAAAAAGGATTTGATTGTGAATTTCATGCCGAATGGAATTCAATGCTTGGAGATGAGATTTGCCAGAACCTAATCAAGTCAATGCCAAAAAGGGTTGAAAAGGTTATTCAAAATAAAGGAAGACCCATAGATTATTAAATATTTTCGAACTATATTACCTATTATAAATAAATTATACCTCTATTATTCTTTATTTAAAGCTGTTTGATTTATGTTTCTATTGATTACTAGTTGCAGGAAATAAGTGAGTCACTTTTTTTGCACAGAGTTTTTCCCTAAATCTCATTTATATCCAAAATTATAATTATCAATAGAATACCTTAAGGTGAATAAACTTTTTTACTAGGTGGTCGGGAAGGGGTCTTTATATTAGTAAGATTAAAAATTAGTTTGACCCCAAAAACAATAGACGAAAAATTTTTAAGTAAAAAAAAATCAGGTGAGTCACTTTTATCGAACAGCACTGTACGTGTTAAATTTACCTTCGTAGCTAAATTCTGTGTTACTCGACACAGAATTTTTTTTTTAATTTAAAGGGTTGAACACAAAGAATTTTCAGAGAAATTAACAGTGACATTCTCACGCAAGAAGATCATTGTCAGCTTCATGACCTCTTTAATGGTATGTGATCTCCGAACGACACTCCACTTTTCCTGTAGCTTTTGTACTTTACATGTTCCGACAGAACGTTAACTTTGTTTTTGATAATAGGATTAAACCACTTGAAGGGTGAACAACATTTTTTTCTTTTCGCTCAGCGTTAAAAGAAATATGTTTCCGCTAAAATCCAGCGTAACTCCTGATTTGGTTTAAACGTATTTGATTTGATGTCAGATTAGACCCGCCTTTTTCTCATAATATATTAAAAAAATTAACGTTCTTTCCTGTTTGCAAAATGTGTTGATCTTAAATACTGACTTATAGAATGATCTGACATTTGTTTCGAGGACACAGCATGATATTTCTAGCAATTAAAAATGCGTCTCCTATATGACCTCAAATAGTGGGAATCTTTGTTGTTTTTTTTTAATTTCATCATTATATAACATGTTCACCCAAGACGTAAAAAAATGGTGATATTACTGAGATGAAGAAAAAAACAATTCTTTTGGAGGATGTAAAACTATTTGAACAGTCAAAAGATTAAACGTAAGCAAAACTAAAACAAAATGACAATGGCGTTTATATATATAAACATTGACTATATGATATACAACTCTATACTGTATATCAAACTAATAGTGAGTAATTAAATCACAAGATAGAAAACAATCCTAATGCAATTGAATAGAATTTATCTAAAGTTAATAATAAATTTGGTTTTGTTTGATTTGTTTTGTTTTACGTCATATCAACTTCAATGGGTTATTTAATGCCGACAATTTTTATTGCTGGCAATTTTTTTTTCAAAAATGTATTGCTGTAATAATGAATTTTTTACAAAGTATTTCTGGTATTAAAAACTATTTTTGCACTTTCACAGTGTTTTGACCCCAGTTAGCGGGGGTTAACTAATTGCCCATAGCTGGGACCTTAACAGGTGCTACTACCCCGGGTCAGCGGGTACCTAAGAACACCAGCAATTAAGAGATGGTTCCACGCTCCTCAAAGACTCCTGTTCAGTTTATCGTCTTACCCAGGACGCTATTTGTTACAACTACTTTGCAAGAAATAACAAATTTAATGAATTATCTGTCTGTAAAATGAATAATGAGATATTATTTATTATTTTACATTATTCGGACTATTGTCCTCATCTTTGTCGCCATATTTATAACAAACTTTCGGCTGTTAAACCCACCTCCGACCTTGGAACAGGTGGTTGGAACAATCGAACTGAACCCTTTATTTCGCTCACTGCGGTAGACTGTTCTATTTTTACGTGTCATGTCTAATGAATTTAGTTATCAGTTATCTCCTGTTAATCCAGATGAAGGTTAAAACTGCCTTAACCGGATTATTGAACTCACACCTTTGGGTCCTGTCAAAGAGATCTAATTAGCGCCTTTATTCACCTTGCCATGTGTCCAAATTATTACATTCAACTAAGAGAAGTGAGATTGGAGCAAGACAATGAGCCAAAATGTTATAATAAATATAAAGGACAAAGATGAGGACAATAGTCCGAATAATGTAAATAGTGTTAATAAATTATGTTCAGTATATCTTATTCATAGGCAAAAGTTTTGTAATTATCTATTTTACTTGCGCATATTTTACTTCCGTCATAAAAAAATAATTTATCTAATATTCCAGTGGAGAATTCTTATGAGAAAAATTCAGATTGAAAGACGATATTATAAAAGGACAATGCCAAACAACATTTTCTTTTTTCATTGATCAGTTTAGTCCGTAAGAAATACGAAGAATCAAGATTGGGATCAACAAAATCTGCATTCATTTTTTTTTTCTCTAATTTGAATTACAAATATTTCACTGAAAAGCTACTTCCTGGCGACCTTCTTAAGCAACGTATCTATGCTTTTCAGATAAAAATCCTGCGCAAGTTTAAACGTGTTTCTTCAAGAGAAATACACAAACGTTTTGTCTACCCACGTCATTCAATAATAGACATTCCGCGAACTAGTGATAATTTAACCGCAGGGTCTGTCGACTAATGAGAGACAAAAATGAATATGCATGCATCGAGCAGATCTCAACACACATTTTTTGCATTCCATTCTCAACATGTAACGCTTCTTACTCTTGTGCGCATGCCTAAAGAATATTATTGTTGATTTTGACCAATGTATTTAGTGCCTTTTTATTTAATTTGCCTGGGGTTGTTTTCATATAAGCTTGCAATTCCCAGTGGGAAACAAGAATAAAAAAGTTACTTTCGATGTGCTTCAAACATTTTTATACTCATGTTCACCCAATACAAGACTCAAGAACCACTCAATGTAGAAGGTTGCTGAATGAGGAGTGTAATATAAACATGAGCAAATAGGAAATGAAGATTATGAGGATATGGAGGATAGATAACGATTGACTCTGGACTTGAAAGTGTTAAAACTGTTCGGGAAAGCATCCACGCAGGAGTGCCTGTTCCACAAAGTAGTGGTT